GTACATCACAAGGGATGTATCACCCCTTGTGATATTGTTTCTAATGCTTAGGTGGGAGAGGATACTATTACTCACAATATTGCATTAAGTTTACACGCCCCTGTGATATTGTTCCAGTATCACAGGCGGTGTAAAATGCTTCTGTGAAATAGTTCCTAATATCTGGGGAAGAGAGGATGATTATATTCTCAATATCGCAGGAAATGTAAACCACCACTGTAATATTGTTTCTAATATCCAAAAATGGAGAGGATATTACTCCAAACATCACAGAAAGCGCACAACCCCTCTTTGTTCCTAATATCTAGGGGATGAGAGATGACATTATTCCCAATGTGGCTGGGGCTGTACACCCGCCCTGTGATAATTGTTCCTAATATCCAGGGAAGGAAAGGATGATATTACTGCCCGCTGTACGTCCCTTCTGTGATGTTATTTCTAATATCCCGGACAAAAGAGGATATTACTCCCAATATAACAGGAAATATACTCCTTCCCCATGATATTCTTTCTAATATCCATGGGGAGAGGGAAATATTGCTGACAAATATCACAGATGTAAACCTCCCCTGTGATATTGTTCCTAATATCCAGGAAGGGAGAAAATATTACTCTCAATATTGCAGACGGTGTACACCCCAACTGTGTACTGTTTCTAATAAACAAGAGGTGGGGGTGAGAAAATGATATCACTCCTAACAACGCCAGGGATGCACACCCTCACTCTGATATTGTGTCTAATATTTGGGGGGGTATTACTCCCAATATTGCACGGTGTGTAGCGCCCCCCGCCCCGTGATATTGTTCCTAATATCCAGTGGGAGAGAGAATAATACTCCTAATATCGCAGCGGGTGTACACCTCCCCGTAGTTTGTTTTTAATCTCCAGGGCATGATAGGATGAATTACTCCCAGTATCACAAAAGGTGTACACCCCCTCCCGTGATATTGTTTCTAATATCCAGGGGGAGATGATGATATTACTGTCAATATCGAAGGGCATGTACACCCCCCCCCATGATATTGTTTCTAATATTCTAAGGTAGAGAGGATCATATTACTCCCAATATTGCAGAGGCTGTGCACGTCACCCTGTGATACTGTTTCTAATATTCAGGGGTGGGAGAAAATGACATTACTCCTGATTGGGCAGGTGTATATAGTTCCTAATCTGTTCTCACAGAACGATATATCCTTCCTAATATCCAGGGGAAAAGATGATATTGATCCCAATATCGCATATGGTGTACATAACCCCACATGATATTGTTCCTAACATCTAGAAGGAAAGAGGATATTACTCTTAATATCACAGAGGGTGTATACTCCTTTTGTAACATTGTTGTTAATATCTAGCTTCCCAGAATCCCCCCCAGCCCCGACCTGAGCCCACCTGGCCTGTGGCAAGGCTGCAGCTACTGGGAGGTGGGCAGGTTGGGGGGGGCGGCCCAAACTAGGCTGCGCTTCCGGCCACCATCCCAGTCACCATAACAAGAGGCGCAGGGCGGCTTGGGAGCTGTTGAAGCTCCTGAACTACTTAAGGACTCAGGTGTCGCAAGGCGGTTAAGTTTTGCAGCCAGTGGCCATGGGGCCGGGGCTGCGACTAGATTGAAGTTGAGGCCTGGGCTTGGGCGTGCAGGTAGCCCAGGAGCTGAGAAACCAGAGCAGAAAGCCATGCGGGTGCATTGCGGTCCCCAGAGGCTCCCGTACTCTACAGCGGCTCTGGCTTCCGTAGGCCCCGCCCGTCTTGCCCACCCGGAAGCAGCCTCGCCCCGCCCACGTGGGCCCCGCTCTCAGCAACCAGACTTGCACTCCTCTTGCAGCAGTCCCACGTCGTGCCGATGGCCCACTACCAGATGGTGAGCGTGTCTGGCTCCGAGGAGTTCAACCGGCCGTAGAACAGCACAATGGCAAGGCCATTTTCACCTACTTTACGGGTTCTAAGGACGCTAGAGGGAAAAGCTGGTGCCCTAACTGCGTGCAGGGTGAGGCCGGGATTCGGGGGCTCCTGTCCGGCGGAAATGGCAGGAAGGTCGAGGCTACGGCCAGAAAAGGGGCTTAGTGGAGGCAGAGTGTCTTGATTCCAAACATCTGTGGGGCAATCTGATCTGTCCCCGTCTCCTCCTATAAAATCCTACCTTGCTCTGCCAAGAGCGCTCTTCTTTTTACAATTTTACACGGATGATCTTGGAATCTAGTTCCTTAAAACTTCTCACTTACCCAGTACTATTAGTGTCTTACAGGATGCATGTGTTGGTCAGCAAATGCATGTGCTTTCCATTGCTATGGGCGTGGTGGTGCAGGGGCAAATTGGGACTGGGATTTGGTCCTTACCCTTAATGTGGCTCTAAGACCAGAAGTGAACGCCTGACTTCTGTTGACCTCTTTAGTTACCTGCAGGTTAAAGTCTGAGTATTTACCACGACCAGGGGAAGGGGAGAAGAACACTGTTTATCAGTGCTTGATTGTCGAGTTGATGTGTTTATCTCAACTTTTTTTTTTTTTAAGCTGAACCAGTCGTAGGAGAGGGTCTGAAACACGTTAGTGAAGGATGTGTGTTCATCTACTGCCACGTAACAGATAAGCCTTAGTAAGTGACAGTGTATACTCTACTTCACAGACGTGCGCAAATTGTAAACTTAGGCGGGAAGGGCCTCAGGGACTCACCCAGTTTCTCTGTTATAAGTTTATGTCTGACAAGATAAACAATTAGAAGCTATTAAATACAAATTTAAAATGCCCACCTGAATTAAGTAAGGGTAATTCAACGAATTTGGTCTGTGTAAACCCAGAACTTAGCTGGCTTTACTTTTATATCTTAGTCATGCTTTAAAACTTTGCACAGGGCAATTAATAGATTAAACCATAGTCCTCAAGGTTAAGTGTTTGCAAGAACAATGATTAATAAAAAATGTAGGGATATGTCAAATATTAAGCAAACTGTAATAAACCAAGTAAATTTTTTTCATGATGACTTTTTCTTTTGGAATAGTTGGAAAGATCCAAATAATGACTTCAGAAAAAACTTGAAAGTAACAGCAGTGCCTACACTACTTAAGTATGAAACAGTAGGTATCTTTCTTTAAATATGCTAGGCCTGTAATTCACTGTCAAAACTCTTTTAACTTGCTCTGGATCCAACTCTGATAAGATCTTGACACTGCATCTCAATTCCACTGCAGTTCAGAGTGCTGCTGAGAGTCCATTCCTATGGCCAATGCCAATAAACTGATAATGTAAATATCTAGCTATCAGGTCTTTTGCATGGTAAGTCACAGTTAACAAATTCTATAATCAGAAAGTAGGCTGACTCATAATTCCTTAAAACACCTGCATCAAGAGTTGTTTTCTAGGTAATTCATAAGTCTGGTTAAAAAGGGCACCTCCTCTACTTCAGTCATGCCCCTGGGATCCTAAATTACAGAGTTGAGGGGAAGAAGAGGGTATTGGGCTTGCTGTCTCCTGTTTTAGTCTGTGGAGCTTCCTGGCATTCGGGGTTTAAGTCCCTTGAGCCAAGTATGTTAGTGATTCATCTTACAGCAAATATCTTGATTCCTAAAACTTGTTATAACTGGTTGATAGTTTCTCAATTGAGTAATTTGTCTTCAAAGATTAGTGTCATTCAAGGCAGAACTCATTCTACTCCTAGTAATGTTTAATAGGAGTAGTTAAGATTAGACTGTTCTTCTCTTACAGCCTCAAAAACTGGTAGAATGAGTGTCTTCAGGCCAACCTTGTGGAAATGTTGTTCTCTGAAGATTAAGATTTTATGATGGCAATCATGTCTTGATTTCCTGATTTTAGTATCAAAAAACTGTATACTTGCTTTGAATTCATGTTAGCAATAAACGATGTTAAAAAACTGGCATGTGTCTAAACAATAGAGTGCTATTAAAATGCCCATGAACCTTTAGTTTGCTTGTAATATATCTTCAGAAGTAGCAGTAAAGGCTCAAAGGAATGTATTATTGAAAGTGACAGAAATGCATAAAAGCTCCTAAAGGTACAGAGGACACCTTCCAAATCTCTAAAGATCAGGATCTTTTAAATTCTATGTATCTGCAAAGCAACTGATACTCCTGAAACCCCTTCTTTGATTTTGGAATGTAGAACCTAACCTCACCACTGAAGGAAAGCACACTACCCGTAATCCAGCTTCTGCTTAATTCAGGCAGTTTTGTTTCATTTATTAAAAAACAAGACTCCTGAGCACTAGAGGCAGTTCGTTTTACAGCTATCTCAACGTGCTTTACTTGGGATGAGGCAGGTGGCAAAGAGGGGCTAGAGAGACTATATAACCTAGTGGTGGGAAGAACTCCAACCTGGGAGTCAGTCACACTGATGCTACCATTTACTAGCTGTGTAACCGTAGGCAAATTAAGTTACTCACCCTGTCCAAACCTCAGTTTTGTCATCTATACACAAGGTTCTGAGAATTCAAGGAAGAACTTAACATAGCACCTGGTTTGTGGTACCTCCCAAATCACTGTTAGCTTTTCCAAGTGAGCACCAGTATTTGAGGCCCCTCATCTTTGTTCTAAAGTCAAGAGACCAATTAGTAATTAACCACTAGTTGTCCTGCCATAACTAGGTCAAGTGAGGTCACAGTGATTCTTAAAGCCACCTTGCAAAGCAGGTAATAGAGATATTTCCTTTCCTGCAAAATTTAAGAACCTTTATGCAGCTCCTGTCTGGTGATTTAAAGAAGTCACTGACTCCGCTACTCTCACTTCATAGGTAAGACTGGTAGAGTAGTTGATCTGAGACACAGTAAGGTTCCAGGAGAAGCCTTGCCCTACTATATGCCAGGAAAAGCTAGCCTTAGAATTCAGTATACTTGGTGGCCCACTCCTACCCCATGCCCCCCTGCCTTCTTAATTTGGTCTAAAGCACTTAATATTGTGTTCTTAATTTGGCCTAAAGCACTTAACTTTTCCATTCTTAATCAGCTGATTATGCTAAATGCTTAAAAAAGAAACACCTTAAAATCCACATGGAAATCAAAGTAGAACACTTCAGGTTTAACAGTGATAGTCCATTGACAATAAAAAGTTAGTTGGATTGAAAAGCACACTAAAGGTTCTAAGGGCGACCATAATAAGCTAGATAGGAAGAGTTTTCATTTTTTTTTTTTTTGGTCTTCACTGTACAAAAGAAATATATATATATATATATGTATCTTCAGAGCCTCGTCTGTATCCAGTTTTTCATTTTCCCGATGTGTTATTTTGCTGTTGCTGCTCTGCCAAGGCTTGCAGAAGGCGCATCCGCTTCCGGAATAGTGCTGCCAGTGTAGAATCTGCTGTTCATCAATAAATTTCGCACACTGGGCATTCACCAGCTCCTTTTGGAAGTGTTCATATTGGAGCAACTCTAATGTGTAAACACTGAGGGTACCTGGGTTTAAGTTTATAAGTGAATGAACAACATAATTTAAGTAAATAATGCCAAGGTCTAATTCAGTTATTCTCTTAAAAATGATCTTGTAGCCTACCATTTCTATAACATTAACTTAGTATACTTTAGCAGCATAGGGTTTTTCCCCTGCATAGTCATCAAAAGTCAGTGTTCAGCAAAATTTTCAAGTGAGGAGGTTTAAGTTCAGAAAGATTAAATTAACTTGCTCAAGTCTACAGAACACAGTAACTGGTAAGCAGAGTGAAAATTTAGGGACAAACCTTGCTATTCCCTTCTAGTGGTTTCCAAGATGAAGAACATGAACATATTTTAGTAATTATGTGTTTAATTGATAGTTACTGGTTTTTCCATCAATAGTGATAAAAAGACAATTTTCAGTTTGAAAGAGGACTATGCATATACATTGTACTCTTGTCCACAGGGATATACCAATTCTGAAATTAGGTATACTCCAGGATTGGACAAGTAAATATACTGTGGATACGGAGAGCCAAATTTTGGCTATCAGAAAAGGAGTTATAGACAAGGAAAGGAAAAAGGCTAGAATGAACCCTGTGTTACTGAGCTGGTATTGAAAACAATATGCACTTACGACTTTTAATATATAGAGACATAGATATATACGTGTGTGCATGTATACACACATACATACATATATAGAGTTCTTGAGCTTTGTGTACTAAGAGGGCCTAGAAGCAATGACACTGTGGTACTAATAAACACACAGTGCCCGGTTTCCAAGAAGCAGGTTTCCTTGGAGAAAAAGCCGATTCAGGGATAAGACAGGGAAAGGACAAGATGAGCCTGGAACATTACGTAGTGCCAGAAGAAAAAGTGCTAAAATTCTTGGGAGGATCAAAAGTATTCAGGAGCCAACTTGAAGGGACTCCTAATGGCCAAATCTGGAATACTCAGAGCAAGAAAATACATAATTAAAATTCACAGAATAAAAATAAGAATACAAAAGTCCATACTAAATGGATGTAAATTTCTTTAATAATAAATAGAAAACGAGGAAAAGTACTTCCATACAATCGAATTCCAAACTAATAAATGGAGAATGATAGAATTAGAAAATCACCACAGTGAAAATTGTTTCTTCAAAAGCAAGTATCTTCAAAAGATGCTAAAATTAATGGGCAAAAGTATATGTAATATGATATTTACATAGTCTCAAGGGATTTCCCCATAAGATACTTATTAAATATACAAGGAAAAATAGTAACTTGATACTGAGAAACCTAGAAGGTACCACCCTCAACCAAGTTATCAAAATTAATATCACCAGCAGTGGGACAAACAGACTTCATGTGACTATAGATATATGACAGATACAAAATCATTTCTGTTATAGTCATGGCAAAGAAAAGACCACTGAGATTAAAGGAGACTAAGAAAACAAGACAATAAATGCAATATGCAGGCCTAGACTGGATCCTGTACTGCATACAGCATACCAGCAGGACAACTGGCAAAATCTGACCTCTGTAGATTGGGTAATAATATTAATGTTCTGATTTTTGCTGATTGTATTGTTAAACATTTGGAATATCTGAGTGAGAAAAATATAGGAATTCTCTTTATTATTTTTTCAGGTATTTTGTAAGTGAAATTATTTCAAGTTGAAAAGACACAAAAGCATTTAAATGAGACAAAGTACATTGAAATATAGGAAGTATGCAGATAAAGCCAAAGTTGTAGAAGTGATATGCAAATGACTGAAGTTTGGAAAATACGATGCTAGAGCGACACTTCTAAAACTTTAATGTGTGTATGAATCACTTCTTAAAATGCAGACTGATTCCTTAGGTCTGCAGTGGGGCCTGAGCTCTGCATTTCTAAAAAGCTCCCAAATGGAACCAATGCTGCTGATCCAAACACCACACTGAATAGAGGGCTCAGCAGCATGCTTCTAAGAGAGTAACTTCCAAGGGAGTAAAGGTTTGCTATCTACCCACTAAAAATACACAGTTGCTCTGATTGCTGACTGCTTATGCTAGAATGCTCTATTCACACCTGCCCTGGCTAATTCCCTTTCATGACAGCATGAGTAGTTAAAATGACCAGGATATAAGTTCCAGCCAGGTAGCCTTTAACAAGGTACTTAACCTCTCTAAAGTTCAGTTTCTTCAGCTGTAAAATAATGTGACAAGCAAGAGAAGTCTCAAGTAGCATTTGGTCGGTAACTAGAATTTAGACAGGCAGCGATTATATCAGAATATATTAGATGACAATAAAGAATCATACTCTGGATAGGCTACAAGTCAACAAGATGAAACAGAAGTAGTAAAGCAAAGTTCTGCATTTGGTGTTTTAGAAAATAAACAAGATAGGGAGAACTCAACAGCATTGATGAAAATAAGAACCGAAGGATTTAAGTTGACATTAATGCTCCCAGCAAGTCAACAATGTGATCCTCTCCCCACCCCCCCCCCAAAAGTAATATAAACAAGGGTTTAATTAATAGAGGTGTATGTCCACATACAGAAAAGAAAGGACCTTTGGCCCACTGTACTCTGACCACATCTGAAGGCCTGTATTTAGTTCTTGGCTGAACTGCATAAGGTACAACTGCCAAATATCCAAAGGAGGGAACCTGAACTCATGAGAAGCCTGGGCACCATGGCACAATGGCTGAAGGGAGTTAAGAAAAACAGATATAAGAGAGATGTTATAGTGGCAGCTACTGGTTAGCAAGGAAGCAGGCCAAGTGGTAGAAAGTCTCTTCCACCAGGTGGAAAGCAGCTAGGAGTGACAGCTGCTCTCAGCTTCAGCCAGTTGTTGACTTGAAGAATTAAGATCTATGGCTGCTAGATCTTCCAGATTTTAAAGAGTAGCAGGCAATCTGCATTTATTAAATAAAACTTTTCGATCTTTAAATGCTGGCAAGCATTAAAAAAAACACAAAAAACAAAAAACTAAAATCTTGGGCAGACTAAATAAAATGCCCAAAATGGGCTAATTTGTAATCTCTCTTGAATGTAAATATCTAAAAGGCTGTTGTCCTCAAGAGGGTATAGAATGGTTCTAGCTTAATCCAGGGACAAAGAGATTGAAGCTACAAGGAGGTATATTATATCACAATATAAGGAAGAACTTTATAACTTCTGGCTAATAATCGAATCAGCTGCCCTTGACAGAGTAACAGGGGATCAATGGAAACTTCCAGAGTGTAGATGACCATCTCTCAGCAACATTGTGGGTAAAATTAAACTTACTGGTGGATAAGGCTTCCAACACTGAGTGTAAATCTACACACATACAACACTTGTTGACATATACTTTTTTAAAAGTCTTTTCTTTGGATTATTAAACAGATAAAAAGCCAGAAAAGATACAAATGGTCCTGCAGGCAACACAAGATGTATATGCTTCATGAGTCAACTGTTACTGCATATAGAAAAGTGACTTAAAGACAAGTTTGAAACATTTTCCTCTCAAACTTTTTTTTTTTTTTTTTTTTTTTTAAAAAAGGTTCACTACTGCTTTCTGACTACCTGTTTAAGACAAAGCAGGGGTGTGAGTTCAAGGTGTAGTTGTTTTTTTACCATTAAAAGGGAATTGCTTTCTGGTTATAATATGCTTCCTGCAACTTAGTAAGCTTTTACAGGAAAGTGTCTGCTGAACAACTGAATAGTAAACATATATATCCTCATAAATGAATAAATGGATGTGAAGCATTTAGCACTGTTCTTGGCACATAAAAGCCCTTAAAGAAAAGATAGCAGCTCTAAGACTCAGGTAAGGCTCCTCCAAACAACCCCAAACACCTTCCTTACAGATACCCTCTTTTTGTGTTCTTTAGTTTCAGCCCATGGCTATGTCACTACATTTACGGATTGTGAGTTCTTCAGGATCAGAAACCTGGTGAGATGGGAGGTTGGTAAAAGACAGGGTCAGACAAAGCAGAGCCAGATCATAGAGGGGTTTAGCCCAAAAAAGAGAGACTGGATTTTATTCCGCATGGAATGGAAAGCCATTGAAAGGTTCTAGGCAAAAAAGTAAAGTGTTCTGATTTATATTTTTAAGTAATTAAGTTGGCTTCTGTGTAGAAAGTTGTTTTGCTTTGTTTGGTTTGGGGTAGGGGCAGGGGGGCAGGAAGGTAAAAGTGGAAACAGAGATAACCAGGGAATAGATTACTGCAGTGATACAAGTTAGAGATGAGGGTGTCTTGTATTAAAGTGGCAACAACTAAAAAAAGTGGAGAGATTCGAAATATATTTTTGCCAATGTGAAACTAAGAAATCTATTATATAACAAAGTATACACATGCTTAGGATTATAAAAATTAAACTTACTTTAGATACTTGGCATGTTCTGGGTCTTTCCAGTAAAGCAAGTATTTAAGATAATTAACAAAAGCTTTGTCTTTGAAGTAACCTCTCTGGGCAAGAATTGAAAAGCATTAAAAAAAAAGAAAATCTGTAGTTCAAACCAGTTCTTCAGCTATGATTTGTTACCCCTAATATAAAGGATCTAGTTACATAATATCCCCACCACCAACACACGTCGGATTCAAAACACAAGTCCCAGTGGGCACAATTACATCTATAAACCAGCATAAGTGTAATTTCATTCCAGTGAAAATGTGTACAAGTAGATACTATTTTGAATTGCAACTCTTCAGTCAGAAATTAATAGCTACGCAATTGAACGAGGTGCTTAAAAACTTACAATTAAGGTAATTTGGGTTGGCTAAACATTGCACAAATTCCAACTCCAATTGAAACCGAAGTCGATTTCCAGAATCATCGAGGAGACAAGAGAGCAAAAATCACCAAAAATAAAGGTCACTGTATATAACACTGATTTGTGGTAAGGAAAGAATAAAGAAACCTGACTAATATTGAGATGTTCTTCCTAAACTGGGAATGGGTGGAGATAAACCTTTCTTCGAAATCTAAGAAAAGCGGAGCCTTGATTAAAAGGATTAAGTTAGAAATTTCTATAAAGAGAAATCATCAAAGAAAACAGCCACACAAACGGAGCAGAATTCTTACCACTCGTGGGCCACTTTGCAGGAATTTTAAGTGATCACTTAGGTAGGCTGTAATAATTGTGACTTCTCCTATTTTATTTTATTTATTTTTTTATTTTTTTGAGACGGAGTCTCGCTCTTGTTACCCAGGCTGGAGTGCAATGGCGCAATCTCGGCTCACCGCAACCTCCGTCTCCTGGGTTCAGGCAATTCTCCTGCCTCAGCCTCCTGAGTAGCTGGGATTACAGGCACGTGCCACCATGCCCAGCTAATTTTTTGTATTTTTAGTAGAGACGGGGTTTCACCATGTTGA